TGGTTAATTGAAATATAGTAGCAAAATTAAATTCTGACATTCTACGGGCACCAATAAAGGCACTAAATTAAATCACAATGCATGGAAGATACACAGCGGATAAAGAAATTGTCCACCTGGGGGTGATAGGGATCTCAAGGCCCGGTCATACCATATTAAACATATCTATCAGTAGATATGTTGAAGTTGAAGGGATGTAATAAAAGATGGGTGAGTGTAACTATAAGATAATTGGTAGCTTTGATATGAAAGAAGAATGATTTATTTTTTGAGTTGGTTTTAGTATTATAAAGAGCATTAGATACAAGATGTATTAAAATGACGGAGATATATTTTGGCGAAGCGCATCACTGAGGCAAAGAAAGAACACATGCTTGGTCACAATAAATGAACACTGGTGATGAAAATGGTGAGGGTATTTTCTGTAAGCAGACAAAGTGTACACTGATTAGAATGGCTATGGTGAATAGAGTCGTGTGGTAGAGGAATGGTGAGGATACGGTATGTGAACAAAAGCACGAGAGTGCGGTAGCTGTAGTAAAGCTTGACAGGAGAAACCAGAATTGTGGAAACTACTAGAAAAGAGGGACGGTAAGTTGCATATGGGACAAAAAGCGGACCGCATGGTCCAGAAGAGCGTACCAACTAACAATTTGGTATAATCAGCGTGTGTTCAGACGGGTTGGCCATATACGTAAGCGGTGCGAAGAGCCGTTCCCAAAACGTCCTGTTCCGGTGAAATATGAGCTGCAATCTCAAAATGGGAGATCGGTGTTTTACAGTCGTAATTTATTAAGTCCAGACGTGGTTGAGCTTGACTAAAACAAAGGAGACTTGCACTACCAGAACAGCAAAAATAAAAGTGCGGCCTAGTGATGTATGGGAATAGTTTACAAAAGACTCAAGGAGATTCACGTTATAGGAGGATGAAGAAGAAATCAAAGTTGGGAGAGTAATGAGCGACTAATCAGATCGAGAGTTTATTTCAGAGTAATTTTGGTGGTCGAGGCAGATGGTAGGTGTGACACCCAACTGTGCCAGTGAGCCTAATGGAATTAATAAAACAATAAAACATAGAGATATGACATCACTTTTGTACCTTACATGGAATCTCCTACAATGAATGGAGATCCACATTTGTGAGTCACTAACTGGTGTGCGATTATACTAGTCGCAGAGTATTTGTGCAAAAGTGATACTGGCATATGAGAGTGGCGAGCCGGGTTTCTAAGGGCTACTGGCGCATTGGCGCGCGTTTCCACATACGATGTCGAAATTGCGCGCGTGTAAACGTCAACAGTAAGCAGAGAGCATTCAGCCTGTGCTGTCATTCTTCGAGAAGTCTTTGTAAGGCTGAGCAGTCACAAATAGTGTTTTGCGAGAGTACACCCGAACTAGAAGAGGGCAGAGAGTAGAAACTGAAAGTCTCTACATGAGGTTAAAAGTAAGAGTTTGAGAGCATAGAAACCGGGATAAAAGAAAGTAAGGTCGTGTCTGTATGAGCTTAATCTTCTTAATATTTTACAAGAACTTCACAAAGTAAACACAATCACACAATACGGAAGAATGAATGAGAGAAAATAAAACACATCCAGCTGAAAAATATTTATGACTATTAACCCAACAACGCTATGGGATGTTTCTGATACACAACACAAACGCCTCCATCATGTAGTGGTTGAGTATTCGTGAGTGGCGCGAGAGGGACCAGTCCTTTACCAACTGCTCATTGCGACCCCAATAGAGAGCAAGCCATGGCACCGCTAGACTTTTATAAGCACTAAAAAGTGATTGAGTTAGCATTTAATGTTTGCTGCGTTACTATCACACACACTCCCACCTCTCGATGATGAAAGTTGTGGACGAGACATGCAATCCAAATCGAATATACACGATGAAGATATTATGACTCATCATGTTTCACATCATTGCGCTAGGATGAGAAGAATAAATTTTTACAGCACTTCGTAATACGTGAGCAGCTTCCTTGAGAAGGCTACAAAGAGTAGAGCCCGTAGTGAAAAATAATAAAATGTGAGGAAAGAAAAAGAGTGTTTATAGAAATCTAGTATTTCTGAGTCAACACTGCAGTGGGAGAGTCTTTGCGATAGTGAGTGAAAACTCGATTTGGCATTAGAAGGAGGCTTTTGATTATTCCCCATTGAAAAAAAAATGTAGGATATGTAATGTGCAAAGCTGTGACTGGAAGAGTGCCAGATCCAGGGAGGACACCACTTCCACTCTCAGCATCGGTATTGCCCTGGCTGCAGTTGTATTAATGGAAAATTGAAAATTACGAAACATAACTATTATATGTTACATATCTTTACATACTTTGTTTAAATTATTTTATTAATTGTTTGTACTCAGATATAGACCAGGGATATAATTTAGAAAGGGGCTGTTAATAGATCAAGAGGAAAAAAGTAATGCCTATTGGACCATCTATTGTAGTACAACAGAGAAAATCGAACAGATAGATATAGTGGACAATAGGAATGGCAACAAAACTAAAAACAAGTTGGCCACAAAACTAACAAAAAGTTTATGAAGACAAAACGAAAATACTTTGCACAAGGGGAAGAGCAAAAGCTTGTCACCGCTTGCATAAGTTCATGCACACTTAGCTTATGGTGGACCTCCTCGCAGCACACCCAGGAATATTCGGCCACTTAAATATTCTACAACCACTGCCTGTATTTTGTACGCAGTGATTTCTGTGATGCAATCGACTTATAGATGGGTATTAAGATGACCAATTAAAGCAAAAAATGAATGAAGAAGCAAAGAATATACTCTGGAAGAAAGCATATAATATAAGATAGCTATAAAAGGCAAGATAAAATTACTTACCTGGGCTCCGTAATTGTCTGCTATCGGTCAACATTCTTTGCCTTTTTCCATTCGTGTCCAGATACTAACAGGCATCAACAATAGCTTCGCTTAATCAGATACTCCTAGCCAAGAAATAACTGGGCAGCGTTATGCATGTGAGTATCCTTCTAAAATCACAAGATAAACGATTGAGACCTAAAGGCGTTTGCGAGAGAGTCATGCAGTTTAATAGACAAGTCAAAATGTAAATACCTAAACTAACGAGTGAATATCAGAGAATGATCAATATCAGCGCGTGAACATAAGTGTGCAAATCTGTATTACACTTCCGAGAGGTGGCAGGGCAAACTAGACCTGTGTCTGCATTTGTCTGCATCAAGAAATTGATGAAGCACAGATTCTCCTGCCTTGCTCCATGCTTTCTCTAGCAGGGTAGTGTCACTGGCTCAATGTGTGGAGTTACCTGTAGCAGAACAGAGTCACAACCATTCTTCTATACAAATAATTTGCCTCACAGCACACAGGTGTCAAAAAGCAACGATACAGCCTTACAAAGAAAGCTGAAAACCCTTATTCATCAATACTTTATGTAAACTAAAATCATCCAGAAAAACACACGGAAAGGAATAACTTCAATGCTTCTAACAGACTATTGAACTTGTAGGCTGGGTGTGGACCTCAGCAAACAAATGATTTCTGTGTGTATCATAGTGAGCTAATATGGCCAAATTTCTGTGTTTATGTTGCTGAGGTGTGCTATCGAGGGCTCAAAGTAGATAAAAGTATATCAATGTTATTGGTTTCCAGATCAATAATATACTTCAGAGTTTACCAACTAAAGAGGTCGATTCTGCGACCACTAGATACTGAGAAAATCAGCTTGCTAACACAAAAACTTTTTTTTTTTTTTTTTGGGGAGGGGGGTGCGGAGCAAGGTTACCCAGTACACCACAACTATTTTAACATACAAAAATTAATATCGACTCACTAACCACCCCTATTACTGAATATATATAATACTTTTATTAATATCTTGTTTTTATCTAGAGAAAAGCTCTATTGTTAACTCTCTCCAGGCCATCCTCCATTGATTGAGAACTTTTGGGTGCGAAAAAGGAGTCTCGATACATATGTTGAGAACTCGAACTTATAGCACTGTGCGGATATATATTCTGCAACATTGAAGGAGTCACTCCACTAGCTTATGTTCTTGAGGAGGTAAGTTACAGTTGCATACCTCAGATGACTTCAGTCACCATCTGATAATTACTTAATCCTTTTGAAAATAATTATAATTTATATCAAAAGCAATGGGTATAAAACATAACTACACAATCTTTGCTGTGAGCTTTCATGTTCTGATTGTTAGATATAGTTTTGTTTTTAGTGCACAATTTGATCATAGATCTACAAATTAAACATATTTGAGCAAAGAAAGATTTACCATAACAATAACAAAACAACAAACAAAAATAAACGTTCTAATCCTATATGCAAAAGATCAGTAGATATATGGCTACTATCATTTAGTTTAAATATTTTTTCTTCTTATGATTGAATGGACACAAGAAATTGTTAATTAAATTTGAGTACTAATAAAATAATATTGACACAAAATGCATTAGCATACACATCAGGCAATAAATATTAATATATATAGAAAGCCTACATAAATACGTACAGTTATTAAATTTCACATCATATAAACGAGACCATCTACAGGCTCGATCATAATAGCTCTAAAATATAAACTAGTCACGGACCCTCTTATAATAAGAACTGTGAATCACTTATGAGACCTTTCAGGCTCCTTAATTGTATCCCTTAGACAGCCATTTTCCTTAGCGAGCGGGTGGATAACTCCCTGCGGTGCTGTAATAGTACCTGATATTATGGCCTTGTCCAACTAAAGACATACAACATGCAAGGTATCCATGTAGATTCATGTGGCTCTGCAAGCCCTCTTGGTGTGCTACTTCTCTCATCTAGATTTGAGCATATGGCGGAGTAGAGCTGAGGGAATAAATGTTTGAGTTATTTATTACCTCCTGAGGAGTTCTCAATCTGAATATTTATCCTCAGCACAGTACGTCTTCCCTTTCTCATAAGAGCACCTTGCTGTAATGACTTAATTGTTTTTGAAATATAATTGAGCTGGTCACTAC